AAACAGAAATGCCTATATTTTCTAAACCAAAGAGAAAGGACGAGCTTCTCTTATCCCCAAATTATCCGAAACTTCTCTCCTCCGGTACGGAGAGACTCCGAAATGGCTCTCCCCTGCTTTAGTTCCCCTTCGATTCTCACTTCTATGTCCTTCCTTCTCAACAGCAACCTTGCCTGTGGTCACCTCTTCACGTAAGTAACTCTCGTCTTCCAATTCCTGTAACTTGTCTTCATTGGAGTATTTCGTCGAACACTTAACAATCTCACGCAGTTGATCTGCATTTCTTCTTGGCTCTGTTGATTTCCAGTGTCAAGGTTGCAGATTAAGCCAATTGATTTCCGTCTGAAATCTTTCAATGGGGTCATTGTTCTTGCACCGTCCGTCTTCAAGAAAAGATTTCCGACGACTGTGAATGCATCTTCTACAATCAACGGAACGAGTCTCACTAATGATGGCGAACTGCCGCCAGAAACCGAGGATGAAGCCGTGCCTGTTGACAAACTACCTTTGGAGTCAAAGATGCAGCAGAGGCAGGCGCAGAAGCTAAGGATGACGCTTGCCAAGAAAATTAGGCTCTGCCGAAGGTAGCTTCTGCGTAAGCAGAAGATGAGGAAGAAGGGCAGATGGCCGCCATCCAAATGAAGAAGTTGAAGAATGTCTGACGTTTGGCAGGTTTTATGCTGACCCCTTTTTTTCGTATTGTCATCTTGATTAGTCCATGCAAGTTTCTACACATTATTTTGTTTAATGTTGTTTGTTAAGATGTAATTCCTCTCTTCAAATGTTTAAAGTATCTCAGTAGATATGTTGATTTTGAATTGTTGTATTGAAATTGAAAAAACGTGGATTGAGTTTCATTTCTCTGCTCATTTTTGTTTAAGCATAAAGCCTATGGTTAATATCTTGGAGAAGACATTGATGTCTGAGTCAAGAACAACTTACAAACTTTACTAAGAGAAACTCTCAACTAGAAAGAGGAAAAAATGTTTAATTACTTTCCATCGTAGTAGTTGTGAAGTATTTATAACTTTATTTATAACCATTTTATATGTGTCAATTTCTTATTGACTCTCTTGTTTTTATTCTACAAAATGCACTTTTATAAAGGTTCGTACATGTATTTACTTTGGATTTGAGTTTTGAGCTCTTAACACAGTTAAATCACTATTTTGACAATCTTGATATATAATATTTATGTTATATAATAAGGGTTGAAGGATTATTATAATATAAAGAAAATTATCTAAAGATTATACAAGAAGATGTTTTATACATTCATCTACTTGATTGAAAATGGAAAGTTCAAATGAATCTCTCATAAGTTATAATCTCTTAGGCAAATGATTCACACGTAACATTCTTTATAATGAAATCCGATATACTTTCACTTGTTTAATGAGGTTGTAAGATGACATTGTGTGTGAATGGACTAAAATCTTTTAAGACGAGAAAATGATGGCAACAGCTTTTGGTTTATAAACTGAGGCACAAACCTCGCATGACCAACGCTGGTTGTTGGTGCAAGGGCTGTCCATTTTTGCCTGGAAAGCTATATACACCTTTAATAAATGGAATTTGTTGCCAATGCCAGGCAAGGGTAGTTAGATCAAGAGCCGAAAAAAAAAAAAAATTGTAAATCTGTCTCTAGATTCTTCAATGATTTCTCTTGTTTTGGGTAAAAAAAAGTAGATTATCATCATATTTTGACAGTCAACAAGCACAAGAAAATTACAGTCTCAACTGCATGAAGTAGTCTAACATGATTCACTATTTGAAAAGATTGATTAATTGCATATGTATGATTCTGTATAAGTTGGTATTTATATGATAAGGGAAGGAAGGACTTAGAGGCTAGAGCAATTAAGTAATGCAAAAGGGATTAACACTCAATATCTACCCGAGCACTCTGATAACAAGGCAACAACTTTGGTTAAAAGTGAGGCACAAACTTCCCAAAATGAGGCTAAACTACTAAATTCACTCTCAAATAGGAGTGTAGGGATAGATTTGTCTTTCAAAAAAAAAAAAGAGACAGGCTGATACTTTAAATCATTGACCAAGATAAATTCTTCATCATTTAATGTGTGATGTCATCACTTAATGTGTGATGTCATCACACATCAACTTTTTTATTTTTAAGCTTGTTTTTAATGGAAAACTGATAACTTGACATATGATGATGTTATGTACTCATACGATAAATAATGAGTGATTTGTTTTAATTAATGACTTGAAGGGATAATTTATTCTCTTTTTTTTTTTAGAGATAGGTCTGTCTCTATCCTCCTATTTGGAGGATGAATTTGGGGATTTAGCCGTTGTTTTGATCCATGGAAGTTCTTTTGGGTTGTATATGCTTAATTTTGGAAGACTAATCTATGACATGCATGTCAATGATAACCTAAATTTCCTTCTAGTGAAAATAAAAAATTATAAATTCAAATTACATGATAT